AACTTCGAGGAAAGATGCACAATACCTTTGCCTGCGTGCAGATCCTTATCTCTGTCCAATATACATGATACATCTTATTCCAGTCTGCAGGCAAAAGAAACCATACATAGATCTGAATATGTGGGATAAGAGACAAGGATCAATCCCTCAAGGATAGAGCAAGGTTTGGTTTTCAAGCACTTCAACTCAAAAACAGGAAGTGGCATTCTACAGGAAAATTGTGGGGAAAAAAATTATCAGAAGCATGAGGGATAAAGACCATTATAGTCATGTGATTGCATTATGAAAGAAACGTTGTGGAATCAATCAGAAAAGGTTGATCATCTAGCATTTAAGTATTGGTGTGTACTGCAAGGTTCTGGAATCATCAAAATGATAAGAAATTTGGCCTAGTCTTCGTAAAGTTACAAGCACTGTGCACAGAAAGATGTATATGGGACTACACACACATGCGCGATACATGCGTTATATCTATTTGGTCCCAATAGATAAACTAATTTACCAAATATATCAATTAGTAGGTGGTTTCCGGGCAAAATTTTTATCATCATGTATTAGTCAAAACATATTCTTTCACATGATTGGTAGTAAGAGCTTCCATTTCATTTTTTTTTTATGAGGGGGGCATTTCCAAAACTGGTCTTTACCTTTAAAGAGAATCTTGAATTCTGGGAAAGGTGAAATATAATATTTTAGTTCTCTCATTCTTTTTACCCATACATGTATGCATAATGGTATCATAGTAGGAATATCTCATGGAAAGGATTTCTCTTTGAATATCCCCGTGTTCTAAGTATAGCTAGAAATATTTTAAATGATTTTAAAACCTCTAAATTCACAACTTATGATTTACTACTCAATCAACCTTTCTCAATTGTACCTTCCATCTTGCAATCTCATATATCTATATTCCTTTTTTTTTAAATTTATTATTATTTCTTTTCTTTGGTCTCTCTCTCTTCATCACCCTTCCCTACATGCATCCCACACAGTGCGCAATATCATCACTAATTGTAAAATTCCCAGAAATTCACAACCATGGGTAAACAAATTAAGGATGTGTTATTTCCTCGGCGGATTGGGCGACACACGGACTATCGCATGACCAAAAGTTCCATTTTTCTTATAAGGATTCAGACTTCATTGGGGGTTTTCCCCGTCTTAACTGATCAGATATCTTCTTTCTGTTTTTTCTCTGTCTCTTCTTATCTGATCATCATACACCCTCTTCTTGCATTTACCTTGAGGCTTCCTATAAGAGCTTGTTGTTTTTTATTCATCTTTTCTTATGTCTGTTTATTCTTTTCTCGAAAATCTTTATAGAATGCCAGGATGCAAAAAAGGTAGAGTCTCTTCAAATAGACATGTAAACAAATTGACTTTGCTTTCTTACGGGCAGTAGAAGGCCACAGGGAATTAGTAACGTCTTACGGCTAGAATGATGTGATTGCTATCTGCAACGCAGAGGTCTTTAGTCTATATTTTTCTACGTATCAAGATGGGAACAAGGTTGTCCATTCTGCGTGCTCCCCGAGCTGCGCAAATAACACTCCAAAGATGTTGTTTTTTTGTGGCCGAAAGAGTTGTATCCACATGTCATTAATAATTCAGGTACATGTAGTCTATTCTATGCTTCAGTTGGTACAGGGTGAGGTTTTCCAAGTTGGGTTGCTTGTTTTCTTTCCCCCTCCCCTCCCCCCCCCCCCTTTTTTTTAAAGCATGTAAAATTGTTGGTTTTATAATT